AACAAATATATTGTAATTTATTTCATTTTATTTCAGGTGAATAATTTAGAATTTAATGTTCATCAGGTTTTCTAGTAAAAACATGCATAATTTCCTTTTTTAAAATTAAAGACATTTATGAGGATTCTAAACTGCATCTGAGAATGGAAAATTGGTCTAGTAGTACAGAAAAAGGAAAGGAATCTGCTATGTGACAAGTAAAAATTCTTGTCAGTAAAATTTGATTTTTTTTCCTTGCTATTAAAACATATAACCATACCTTTTTTTTTTACCTACCACTCTTAGAAAGTATATAATGGAATAATAATGAGTTGGTAATTATAGAGGAGAAATGTACCTAATGAATAAAAGAAATTTGCAAGTAATCTTTTTCCCTAAAAATATTCTTACTAAGACCAAAAATCCTCATTGTAAATATCTTCCCAGGAGGTCTTTTTATATCTTAGACAATACTTTATGCGCCAGTGAGTACCATCTGCCAATTTTAACACTTGTGACTAAGATACTGGCCCATTTTAAAATTTATTTTTTTAAGTTAGCTTTTATCCTAATAAAACGTTAGTCAAATCAAATTCTATCACATGAATATATTTATTTTCATTAGTAATATTTTATTTAACAGATTTTATTTTATTTTAGTCTAGGTTTCTTTTCTCTCATTTAAAATGATTATATTCGACACTTCTTTAGCTTTATACTTTTAAAGTTTTTATACTTAACACTGAGGGTCCCTCTGAGGATGTTGACAGGATCCTAGACTGTCCTGTTGCTGAGCATCTGAGGTTCATAAGGCAGCGAGTCAGTTTTCTTAAATGATGAGAAGGATTTCAATATATTTTACAAGGTTTAAAAGAAAAATTAAAACCTCAAATGTGTGTTTGATAAGCACTAGAGGATATTTTAAAGTTTCTTAATGAAAGTAAGGACATTAAAAATAATTTCTCATCAATGGGCACAATGTAAGGGTATATGGTATGCCTCTTGAGTATGGGACACAACCTCAAGAGGGACTCTACCTAACAAATGCAAACATTGTAACCTAGTTGTTTGTACCTTTATTTTAATTTGAAATAAAAAAAATTTATATATAGAACAACGTAATTTCTCAGTTTTAAATCTTGTCATTTAGAATAGTATTCTATTTGATGCCTCCTTTTCTACTCTAGTTTTTTATGTTGTGTCTGAAGTGATAGCTTTTTCTTTAGGAAGCCTTGTGAAAGAAGCAAAAAAGAGAAAAATATATATTGCTGAGTCGCTTAAATTATCATTAGGAGAATCAATATTCAACTGAAAACAAGAGTTTCTGTATTCAGTATATTAAAAGCCTTAAAGCCTTAAAGGAAAAGACTCAGTAATTGTACTAAAAGGTAGTATTTTATACACATAATAGGAAATACCTGAAAGTTAACACATAGAAATTACATAATAAATTTGAATTAATCACTGTCATTTTTAGTAGTGTAAAATTGGAAAGAACTATTTTGAAGCTTCCCAAAATGAGAGAGATTAGGAAAATCAAAATGCAACCATAAAGTATGGCGATGGTACATGATATGTGGGAAAAAGCAATGTAAAATTGTAGGCCTCTGCAAAAATATAAATAGGATAAAAATTATAAGAAACAATTAACAGATTTTTCTCGAGGTAGTAGAATTGTAGGAAGTCTTCTGTATTTCCTAAACTTAGCCACAGTGATTATATCTTATTTTAATATTTAGAATCATTTTATTAAGATGTTGCTTAATGTATGTGTTGAAGCTCATGTGTACTAGAAAAGAAGCCTTTACCTTGAGAATGTTGCCTTAGATTGTGACACAGCATATACTCGGGAATTTTTATACTTTATGGAGTAGCTCTGATATTTAATTAACCCTTGGTTGTCTCAGAAGAAAAGTGGCCTGTAATTTGACCTTTTGCTCTATTATATATATACAGCAGAACCTCTTTGCAAGTTGACCACCCAAGGAATTATAACAAACTGGTCAACATATGGGAGTGGTTAACGTAAGAAACTAGGTCTACTGTACTAATAGGTACGTGTAGTGTTGTATGTCTGACCTATGAAAATTAGGTCAACTTAAGGAGGTGGTCATGTAGAGATGTGTTCAACTATGGAGGTTCTACTGTATTTTTATGATCTGTTTGACTTTGTTAAGTGTTTTTCCGATGTTTCATTTGTTCTTGCAGGATATTTTGCCGTCCTTTCTTTCCATGATGTGATTCTTCAGGCCAAGAAGAATAAGATGTGTCTGTAATTAAAATTACCTCATCCTTGGTGCTTTTCAACCCAGGGTCACTATATGTAACTGACGCAGTTAACATTAACCAGTAAGACAAGTTACAGTACTTTTTTATTTTCACTTAATCTACAGATCTTCACCAACAAAAGCAAATTACACAGTAGCTTGAAAAGCACTCCATTTTCACTTTGATCTTGGGAGTTTCGTGGCACGATATTCTGTCTTAGAATATTATTTAAATGTTTCACATTGCTTAGGTTTTAGTCCTTAAATATTTGTAAGCACAGCAGATTTGTGACTGTCTTCTTATTATTTCTCTAGTACCCCAGCACAAAATTATGCACCCAATATGTGTATAGAAATTTTTTATTGAATGGATAAATGTAACATTTTTTGCATTGATTTGGGGAACTAAAATAAAATGTTCTCTTAATAGAACAAATTTTCTAAAGCACAGATGAAATTTAACTTCCTTCATATGATTTAGTCCAATGGATGGAATGCATGTTTCTTGCTAACCAGTAGACCTCTGAGCTGATTACTAAAGTTAAAAAAAAAAAAATCAACCTACAGACCTATTATTTAAATAATTAGAAGTAATTTAAATAATTTAAAATTCCAAAAATAGCAATGATTGTCAGCATGGATTATATTTTCTATTTTATGTAGGTTTTTTTGAGACAGAGCCTCAAGCTATCCCCCTGGGTAGAGTGCTGTAGCATCACAGCTCACAGCAACCTCTAACTCCTGGGCTCAAGTGAGTCTCCTGCCTCCACCTCCCAAGTAGCTGGGACCACAGGCGCCCGCCACAATGCCTGGCTATTTTTTTGGTTGCAGCTATCATTGTTTTGGCAGGCCCGGGCTGGATTCGAACCCGCCACCTTAGGTGTATGTGGCTGGCGCCTCAGCCACTTGAGCCACAGGTGCCGAGCCTTATGATTTGACTGAATACTAACTCTTTTTAGGACTGATTTAATTCTTTGTTTTTGATTCTGTGTTAATTTTTATAAGCTTAGCATATGCTTAAATTTATTTTGATAGTTTATTGGTTCTAATTATTATACTTGAACTTTTTCTTTTTGCTTGGGTGGTAATTTATCATGTATTTCATTTCAGTATTATCATTATTCAATAATGCTTATTGTTACCACAGTAAATGAAAGTGAGTTATAAAATATATATTCAATCTCTTGTACATGTAGTCATCAAAATATGTGGCAATACATATGATTGCATTAAGATTTACCCCTGTTTAATTTTGTTCTCTCTTTCAGTATTTCTTGAAGATTAATTAGTTACCCTGGACATGCTGCTCTTCTTTACTTTGGGATTGCTCGTACATTTTGTGTTCTTTGCCTCCATCTTTGACATTTATTTTACATCTCCTTTGGTTCATGGAATGACTCCTCACTTTACACCATTACCGCCTCCAGCAAGAAGATTAGTGCTCTTTGTCGCTGATGGCCTGCGAGCAGATGCACTGTATGAATTAGATGAAAGTGGGAACTCTAGAGCGCCATTTATTAGGTAAAATATGTCAATGGATACAGAGGTATCTCTTACAAATGTTACCTGGGCCTAAGTAAACAGCAAAATATCTTACTGTGAAGATATTTTGGGCACAGTGGGCACAGGACTGGGGGGTAATGGGAAAGAGAGTAGGGTTCTTACACATATGTCTTTGTCTTTTAATTTCAAAATATAAGGGGGTACAAATATTTTTGTTATATGGATACCTTGTATAATGCTTAAGTCAGGGCTTCTCCTGTGTCCATCATCTAAATAGTACTCATTATACTTAATGGATAGGTAGGTTTTTACTTGTTCCCCCTCCCACCTATTCCAATGGCTTTTACATCTCTTTGTGCCCATGTGCCCGTCTTTTAGCTCCCAATTATTAGAGAGTACATATGGTGTTTGTTTTTCCATTTCTAAGATACTTCAGTTGGGATAATGGTCTCCGGTTCTATCCAAGTTGCTGGAAAAGACATTATTTCATTCCTTTTCAAAATGGTGTGTGTGTTTGTGTGTGTGTATGTGGGCTGTCCAGAAAGGATCCAGCCCACTTCAGTTGGGATAATGGTCTCCAGTTCTATTCAAGTTGCTGGAAAAGACATTATTTCACACCTTTTCAATGGTGTGTGTGTTTGTATGTGGGCTGTCCAGAAAGGATCCAGCCCTGTATGTCTCTATTTTTCATATTACATGGCTGGATATTTTCCAACAGCTCTTTGATATACTACATTTTCTTAATCCACCCATGAACTGATGGGCACTTAGATTGCTTTCACATGTTTGCAATAGTGAATTGTGCTGCAGTAAACATTGGAGTGCAGGTTTCTTTGTTAAAATGACTTCTTTTTCTCTGGATATCTACAGTAGATCCCAGTAGTGGGATTGCTGGATCAAATGTCACGTTTTCTTTTACTTGTTAGAGGAATCTCCATACTGTTTTCCATAAAGGTCGTATTTATTTGCAGCCCCACCAACTGTGTATAAGTGTTCCATTCTCTGTGTATCCATGCCAGCATCAACTGTTTTTTGACTTTTTATAATGGTCATTCTGGAGGTAAGTTGGTATTTCATTGAGATTTTAATTTGCAGTGATGTTTTACATTTTTTTTTCATATGTTTGCATGCCATTTCTCTATCTTTTGAAAAGTTTCTTTTTATGACTTTTGCCCACTTTTTAGTGGGGCCTAAGAACAGCAAGGGGAGCCTTGGGAGTTGGGATCATGGGGCTCAGCAATGGCACTGGAGCCTCCCTCATGGGGCCGGGCAGCAGTGCAGGAACTGAGTGATGTGAGTTGGCTGCCACAAAGTTGAGCCCTTTGTAGACCTGTTGCTGTGGACCTGAGAGCTCAGAGTGGCATCAGTTGCCATAATGCAGGAATGGAAGCCCTCACATCCCTGCTGTGCCCACTCTCTGGCACAATGTCACAGCACAAATTCCAAGCAAGCCCTGGTCATTCTGGGGGTCTGTGGTAATGATGGGGCTTTCCTCAAAGTTAGTTCACAGTATGGGGCAGATGGGGAAGTGGAGCTTGGTGCTTTAAGGCTCTGTCCTCATGTGCTTCCCCACACATGGATGCCTCCTTCAGGTACTTTCCGATCTTGGGATTGCCCACCCACCTTCTCTTTCACTCCGAATGTTCCGCCTTGCTTCTCTGCTGATTTGCAATGATCTTTAAGACGGTTCAGTTGTAGATGGGCATCCACCTGCAACTTTCAATCTGCTCCTTGAAAGCTGCAGTTGCTTCTACTTCGTATCTTCCCTCTCTGTCTTCGTCTGGATTAGCTCTACATGCCAGTTTATTTCCTCCTGGGTGTTATTTCTGCCACTGTTACAGCCGAAATGTAACAATGAAATGTATATCCTTAGCTGCTGTAGCCAACTTGTCCTGATTTTCCAAACCTGCCTCAGAACTCATTATATCGTTTTCTTATAAATCTGCTAATTGTACAAAATAAAGACAAGCATAAATGTCAATGAATTACTAATTACCATGGTATTTAACTGGAAAATATAAACTTTAAACCAGAATACAACCTTCTATTAAAACAGACAAAATCCTTCCAAGTCCACATCACTGTTTAATGTAACTTTGGCTTCTATTAAGTGGCTTTGTAAAGAAATGTTTAATTTTTTGACTTATAAACATTCTACAAACAATTGTTCTTTTTCTGATTAGTGACAAGTCCCTCAGAACTTTTAATGCTCTTGTAGCGAGGTAACAGTCAAACTTAAGAGCAAATATATCTAAAATATTCTACTTCCCCTTATGCCCACTGGTCATCATCACTTTCTATCCATTTATTGCTTTCTTCTTTAATAGCACTTATCATTATGCAAGTTCCATGAGGGCTGGGTTTTATATGTATGCTACTTTATCTCCATTTCTTAGCACAGTTGACAACTAATAAATATTTGTTGACTGCTAGAAGAATGAATGAACTTGAATGCTTGTTGAATTTCCAGAAATAAATTTGTGGTGGTCAAATGAATGCATAATATACTAAAGAATAAAAAGAAATAAATGAGCAATTCAGGTTAATGGGGAAATGTTAGTGGGAAAATAAGATCAAACTAGGGTTAAGTATAATACATAAAAATGTATAACATAAATTCCTATATACAGGGTGGCTGTAAAGTTCTATTTGAAATTGCACATGAACTTTATAGGCACCTGTATGTATAATTAAAATATTTGGGTGAATTTCCTAGTTCCAAGAAAAGAGAGAACTGTAGTTCATTTTAAAATTAATAAGAGAAAAATACACTGATTGTTAAGGAAAAGTTAAGCTTTTCTAGTAGTATTTTTGGTCTTATTAAAGGAAATGCTGCCAGTTAAGGGCTCAAATACTTTATATCTTTGTATTGTATGTCCTTGTATATTTACAATTTCAGGAATCTTCCGTCTTCTAAATCTGTTTTATAAGTTTTTTTTTTTTTTTTAGAAAATATGATATAACTAACAGTTTTAAATAGAAATATCCAAATTTCTTTAATACTTCCTCCCTTCTAAATCCTATGGAGAAAGAAAGTTGAGTAAATTAGGCTTTCTCACCTGAAGGCCACGAAGTGCCAGAATGTTCTGAGTAACAAAGATTAAGCTGGCAGGTGCCATGTTATCTTAATTTATTGTTATTAGTGTTTGATTTGGACCCACTGTTTTGTCTGTAGTATAAAGGCCCCAAGGCTTTCCGCCTGTGTAGACTTCCCAAGTTGGACTTCCAAGGCTACTTATGCTAGCTTGCCTGCCCTTACAAGTTAGATCAGGGGTCCTCAAACTTTTTAAACAGAGGGCAAATTCACTGTCCCTCAGACCGTTGGAGGGCTGGACTGCGGGCCCCAGGATGAGTTGGCTGCTAAGCAGGACAGGCAGTGGTGGCAAAAACACCCGTTGGGCCGGATTAATGTCCTTGGAGGGCTGCATGTGGCCCGAGGGCCGTAGTTTGAGGACGCCTGAGTTATATGAAGGCAGATGTCCCCATGCTTGCTGACTGGCCTCAGAGTGCTGAGTAACAGATATGTCATAGCTACTTTGGGATCCTTGGTTCTTCTCCAGTCTGTCCAAAATCCTGTATGAAACTCTTTGGCCTCAACCACTAAATCCTGTATGAAACTCCTTGGCCTCAACCACTAGCACTAAAGTCCTGTTTTCATTGTATAACTCAAGAAGTTAAAGAATATTTCTCCCTTAATATCTGGTCCAATGTTTTTCAAACCATTTTATTAAGTATGTATTTTACCAAAATTGTTTTTATTGTAAGTCAATATTAATAGAAAATATACCAATACTTATGAATACTTTTATTCAACCTGTATTGATAGTGCAGTGTTCATCTGGAAAAAGGTTACTGATGCATTCACTCTCTTTTATCTCAGCGCTCACTACCCTTTTGCCTACAGTAGTGTCACTGGTGGTTTTATTTCCCCAAATTTTGGAAATCACTGTGATACAACTTAAATAATGTTGATACATTTTAGGAGAAGAAGCTTTATCTGTTTTAATCTCATATTTAGGAATTTATGCCCTTAATATCTTAAGAAATTTACACAGAAGTTGAAAGGATTATATGTATAATAAATGTGTTTGCTCTTAACCTAGTTTTACAGTTTTTAATATTTTTCATGCTCACATTGTCTCCATACATACATGTGCTCATTTGTATGCACCTGGTTTTAATTTTTCTTTAATTTGAAGGCAAGGCATTGTGATACTTCACCCTTAAATACTTGAGCATGTATCTCTTAAGAACAAGGACTCTCACAATCCCAATACTATCATACCTAATAAAATTTAACATTAATATGATAATATTGTGTGTATCAATTATCTCTAACAAACCATCACAATCTTTTGTGGCTTTAAAACAACAGTGGTCTATTTTGCTTCATTCTGTACAGTGGGTGAGTGGTTCTTTTTGGCCAGACCTAGACTCATTCATCCTGCTGCATTCAGCTGATGGGAGCTCATACTGAGCTCAGCTAGGATTTGAAAGATTCCTTAACTTCTGACTCACTTTTTGGGTTTTGATTCCTTAAGCCTTATGAGAGTAACTATAGTCTATGTTAACTATCTGTATAAAATATCTTCTAGGAAGATCATAACGCATGAAGGCAGCTGGGGGGTATCCCACACACGTGTGCCAACAGAGTCTCGGCCAGGTCATGTTGCCCTGATAGCTGGGTTTTATGAAGATGTCAGTGCAGTCGCCAAAGGTACTGTCTGTTTAGACAATTTTATTAAATGAAATATTTATCTCATATATAGTGCTTCTTTAGCACTGAATCATATCACAAAGTGAAAAAAGTGTTTTGTGTGACTTAACAAGTGTTTTTAGCATGGATTACTTACGTGAACACACTGGTACTGATTCCAGCGTTAATCTTCAGTCTTTCATCATCCCATGCTATTAAAAGATTGTGGTTGGACAGATCCTTGGTTTTCCTAGATGTTACTCCCAAAGTTCAAAAGTGATTCTACATTTTAATAAGTCAATGATCTATTGTTAGTTTTTAAACAATTAGTGGTGTAATATGTAGTATGTGTGGTAATCAATCTATTACTGCTTTGAGTTCAGGAGTTCGAGACCAGCCTGAGCAAGAACGAGACCCTGTCTCTAAAAATAGCTGGGCATTTTGGTAATGCCAGCTACTGGAGAGGCTGAGGCAAGAAGATCACTTGAGCTTAAGAGTTTGAGGTTGCTGTGAGCTATGATGCCATGGCACTCTACTGAGGATGACAAAGGGAGACTCTATCTCAAAAAATATATTAAAAAAAAAAGCAATAACAAGAAATCAATCTATTACTAGCTTTGCATTTGTCCTTTGACTTATATCATTATTATTATTTGAAGAATACTTCTGTAGTGGCTTATTTCACCATGTACATAATGATATTGTTATTGTCTGCTTTCTTCCACAATTACCCTGAAGGATGGAAGGAAAATCCTGTAGAATTTGATTCTCTCTTTAATGAAAGCAAATATACATGGAGTTGGGGAAGCCCAGATATCTTACCTATGTTTGCCAAAGGTAAGTGTCACAGATTACATTTCCTTGGATGGTATAAGTAATCAACATGGTAGTTTTTATGTTTTGTTGCATTTATTGATTTTCAAGACATACTTTTACATTTTTTAACATTTTTGAAATAGGGATATGTCTTACAGTGGATAGACATATCAGTTTAATTGGCAGTATTTTTCCTTAGTTATACTTGAAATATTGGTATATCACGTAGATAGTATTTTTGAGTCAATGAAATGGTACTTGGCTCTATCACTTAACAACTCTCTGAGCTTTAGTTTTCCTTTTGGTAAAATGTAATAATGATTTTTATCTCATGGTTTTATTTTTAAAATTAGATAATTCATGTGGAACATTTAGCTTGGTGCTTATCATAACTTCATTATCATAACAGTACTGGTGTCTGTTTCATTATACTTTGATAGATTACTAGAGAGGCTTATAGATATTTTCATAAAGATTTAAATGTTCGGCTCAGCGCCTATAGCTCAACCGGCTAAGACGCCAGCCACATACACCTAAGGTGGCGGGTTCGAATCCCCAGCCCGGACCTGCCAAACAACAATGACAGCTGCAACCAAAAAATAGCCGGGCGTTGTGGCGGGCGCCTGTGGTCCCAGCTACTTGGGAGGCGGAGGCAGGAGACTCGCTTGAGCCCAGGAGTTGGAGGTTGCTGTGAGCTGTAATGCCACGGCACTCTACCCAGGGGGACAGCTTGAGGCTCTGTCTCAAAAAAAAAAAAAAAAAAAAAGATTTAAATGTTGGAATTTATGATTCCTATTTTAACATATGAATGTGCTATATATTTTGGCATTTAATATGTATGACAGTGTATGACATTTAGTAAGTTGAATGTGCCATTCGGATTTGTATATGTGCATGATTCTGCAAATGTTAGGTCATCTATTGATTAGAAATTTATTTATAGTTTTTAATCATTTGAGTGAATTACATGTCATTAAATGCCTTTTGGTGGGAACAGAATGATCATTTCACTAATAGATTTTTTGTAACATGATATTAGCTGTGGGTGTCATTGTAGGAATTGGAGCCCTGGAAGATTATTATGTGTTCAGAAAGCAGAATATATATTCAGAATTTTACATATAATGCTCATAGAACATTATTATACTGGACAGGCTAAAAAACTTCAAACTGCTTGCCATTTATATATTCCCTTCTTCAAAAAGTACTTTAGCTTTTTGAGGGGCTGATGGTGAGGAGGGTGGATTAAGTTGTGATGATTTACCAAACTAACCTTCTTATTTCTGGCTATAATTGATGGGACGGGACCAATGCCTGAATGTGTAAGTGTAACATGTATGTTCCATTTCTTATGGTAACCAACAACCCTGCTCAAATCTTTTTATTTGGGATATGGCTAGTAGAATGTCTCAGCAGGAGAATAGAGACATCAGAGCTAAATTAATGTTATAGAGATTGGCATTACTTCATTATATTTCTTCCTTATTACCTCTAAGAAGCTATCTAACCCAGGAATTCACTCAGTTCATTAGATTCTTAAAATCTTGCAAATATACAAGATTAATATATCTGTTGACCTTTTCAAATTATTTGGCAATAAGCAATATTTATTCTTTTATATTGAGAGAAATATGCATATTGTATGAATATGAGGTGAAATATCTTTTGAATAGTTTAATCCTTAAAGGAAGACAAACTTTGGTGCTTATTTTTATTTTGGTGCTTATTAGGATTTTGACTTTGGCAAGTCTATTAATCTTACAGGTAATATATCTATAAAATTAAGATTGTAAGGACAAAAAGCAATGGAATCTGTTAAAGTACATAGCACGGTCTGTGTCACATAAAATAAATAAGTAAATGTTAATTATTCCTCCTGTCTTCTACTTGCCTGTCATAGCACACAGTGCTTTGTGAAAAATACTGGTTATTTACAAAAAATCTTTAAATGACTATCTCATCTTCTGTGATAGTTGAAAAAAGATTTTTTAAAAAATTTATTTTTTCCCAACTTTCCTTTTCAGGTGCTAGTGGAGACCATATATATACACATAGTTATGATGCCAAAAGAGAGGATTTTGGTGCCCATGATGCAACAAAATTGGATAGCTGGGTTTTTGATAATGTTAAGGTATGGGCTATTAAGTGGTTAATGTGTAAAACACATATTCTTACCTAAAGTACTGGAAAATGTTCTTAAGTATTTTCAGCTTGGATGAGCTTAAAATTTTTGTATTGTAGCCCACATTTTAAAAAGACTGAATTCTAAGAAATTATGTATTCTAGAACAACCAATTAATAGAATTTAAAAACATTTTAAAAAGGTGTCCTTTTAAAATTCTGTGTTCCTCATGGTAAAATTAGCCCTAGATTAGGATTCATGAAGCCTACATTTCATTTCTAGTTTGGTGAATTTTGATCTTTCATTGACTATAGAACATCAGTCTCTTGCAGTAGGAGACTATGTGAAATGTGCTAAAGCCTTTTGAAAAGTGCTGTTAAAGGCTTGGTGCCGATGGCTCAAGTGGCTAAGGCGCCAGCCACATACACCTGAGCTGGCAGGTTTGAATCCAGCCTAGGCCTGCCAAACAACAATGATGCCAAACAACCAAAAAATAGCCGGGTGTTGTGGCGGGTGCCTGTAGTCCCAGCTACTTGGGAGGCTAAGGCAAGAAAATCGCTTGAGCCCAGGAGAGTTGGAGGTTGCTGTGAGCTGTGACGGCACTGTACTCTACCCAGGGCAATAGCTTGAGGCTTTATCTCAAAAAAAAAAAAATAAGAAAAGTGCTGTTCAAATGTAACATTTATAATAATAAAGTAGACAATGTTTTAAGGAAACATTGTCCTTTAAAGAAAAATCAGATGAGCAGATTAGATAAGGAAAAACATAGTCATAATAAAATATCTGAGTTACTTTAAATAATAAACTATAATATTTAAACTATTTGATAGTGACAATTATCACAGTTTTATTAGGAATATAATAGAATTCATGTTCTCAAATTGTGGGAAAATCTCCATTGTGGATGTTGGCTTTCTCCTTTCTTCTAGTTTCTACTAGTTCATTTTTCTACATCTCCATATAACAATACATAATTCATCCATTGAAAATGGCTTTCTTTGATTGACCTTAACTGACACTTCTTTTTACCAATAGTGTCCTTTGAACTGATATTGTAGACTTCTTGATAGTTATTTTTGTTTGTAAATGTACTTTCAGTGTATGTCTTTGTTTTTCTTTTTGTTTACTTAGCAGAAATTAAGTGCTTATTAAATTATTTGCTAAACTCTATTTCTTTCATCAAGAGCTTTTCCCTTGAATTTTTTTTTTGTTCCTTTTAACATATACTTTTGTCAGCATGGAAAATTTTCAAATTAGATAAAATCCTTTACGTAAATAGAAAATTATTTTGGTAACCATTAGTTCTTAATGTAATCTGTTAACGTCTACTTGAAAGCCCTTGGCTTCTAATTTCATACGCATAGCTAAAACTGCATCAGAATCATAGACTTGCTTCCTTTTGAATTGGGCAGACATAGCTGGTGGTTGGCCTGATTTTCATGTTTTCTGTCCTTTATTTCAATACTGCTGGTCTTGGTTATATGATAGTGAACAGAAAAAATAATTTGCCCATGACTTCTTCTTGAAATATGGTAGAGACACACATTAACCAAGTAATAACAAAAATATGAAATAATCAACAGTGGAAGTGGTATAAAAGAAAATACAGACTAAGAATATATCTTTAGAAAGTTCTGATCTAGATTGGGCAGGTAGGAGAAGGCTTTCCTCAGAGTTTTGAGATGATCTCTGAAAAGATACAGGAGGCTAAGAAATAGATAAGGATGAATTTGTGTAGAATAGAGTATTTCAGGCCAACAACATTATGTAAATCTTGGGACCTAAGGCAGAAGCCAACATAATGGGCTTGAGGAACTGAAAGAAGGTAGGTTAGTGTGGTAGGAGCACTGACTAGGAGTGAGGTCTCATATGAGGTCAGAGCGAGAGTTAGTGGTCTTTTTTTTTAAATTTATTTATTTTTAATTTTTTTATTAAAGCATAAACACAGATCATGTATACATTAATGCATTTATGGGGTACAATGTGCTGATTTTATATAGAATTAGGAAGGCTTACATCACACTGGTTAATGTATACCTCATCTTGGTTACTTAATTATTGTGTTAAGACATTTATACTCTGTATTTAATAGCTCTGACATGTACTCTTGCAATATGCACCATAGGTGTGATCCCACCATTCACCCTCCCTTGATCTGATCTCCCCCCGCCACTTGGACTTTGTGCTCTGCCCCAAGACTCATGGTAATTCAAATCAAACAGTTTCCAAATCCATGCAATTTTCTTCTTCTTTAAAAAAAATTGGGGGGTGACGCCTGTGGCTCAAAGGAGTAGGGCGCTCGCTCCATATGCCAGAGGTGGCGGGTTCAAACCCAGCCCCAGCCAAAAACTGCAAAAAAAAAAAAAAAAAGGGGGGGTGAAAACATGTATAACGTAGAATTACCATCTTAACCATTTTAAGTGAAAATAATTTGCTAATGCTTTTTCCTAATTTATGATGGTTTGAATTACGATTTTTTAATTTTATGATGGTAGGAAATTGATATGCATTCAGGAGAAACTATACAACCATTCTGTTTTCTCTTTCAGAACAGTATTCAACAAGACATATTTAAGATATTTAAGCCTTTATTGTAAAATAGACTTTTATTAGATGATTTTGCTCAACTATAGGCTAATGGAAGTGTTCTGAGCACATTTAGGGTAGGCTTGGCCAAGCTATGATGTTTAGTAGGTCAAGTATATTAAATGCATTTTTGACCTAAGATAATTATGTACCACATTGTAAGTCAAGGAGCATCTATGATTTGGTAGTGTTAAGTATTGATATACAGAGAATTGTGCAACCAATGTCTAGAACTTTTTCAACTTGCAAAATTAAAACTCTGTATGCATTAAACAATAACTCCCCACTGCCCCTCCCCCAAACCATTGGCAACCACCATTCTACTTGCTGTTTTCATACATTTGACTACTTTATGTACCTTGCATCATGATAAGTGGAATCATACATTATTTGTCTTTTTGTGATAGGCTTATTTCACTTAGTATAATATTCTCAAAGACTGCGTACATGATGAATCTGTTCATTTTAAAAAATTCAGTTCATGTATCATCCCCTCCATTAGGTCTTGGCTTTCCTTTTTTAGTTCACTTTCAGTTTGACTTAAATAACCCTCCTCTATATTCCATTAATGCAGTATACACTGTATATAATTGGCGTATTTGCCATGTTGATACACTGGCATATTCACCTTCAAACTTATATACATCCTGTTGGCAGAGATACTAAGTTTTTCACATTGTTAAATCTAAAACTCCTGTCAAGGAATTCTTTGGTATATACATACACATATTAACTTTGATTAGGTTCAGTTCTATGTAAGAGGAAAAAAATATGGCTTAAAAAATTTTTTCTATCTTAGTAAAGATAGTGCCAGAAGTAGACAAGCAAGGACTGATAGAGTTCAGGATGCTATAGTGGTTCCACAGTGTCATTAAGACCCAATCTCCTAAAGTTCTCTTGTAGCCTCATGCATGAGTTTCATTATTGAAGTTATCTCCTGATCCAAGATAATGTTAAATTTCTAGCTATTATTTCAGAGTTTTAAGCCAATAATATGAGGCATCAAAGAAGACCTCCTTTCCTACTGAATTATATTTATTTCAAAGAGCCATTGGTCCACATAGCTTTTTGACTGAAATATTTGACTTAATATCTCATTAGTTACAACCACAAAGGTACATCTAGCTACAAGAAAAGATGGGAAATGTATAGGTTTTAGGTTCTCAGTATTGCCATGTCCCATAAGGTTGAAGGCTTTGGCTAAGGAGGAAGAAGAGAATGCATGCATTTTGCAGTCTCCATGCTTGAGTATGGAAGTGAATGGGTGCTTTCAACACAAGTAGGAGCTGATAGCATAAGTATACTGAGTATTAGGGAAATGAAACTAGGAATATATTTTACCTCTTATAGCCAGAAGATCAACTTTTAAAAATGAGAGTATAATAATGAGAGAGAGACTGATCTCTACCAGGTTTGAATTTCATAGCTTCCCAGATTTTATGTCCATACATGAAACAGCATTTTTTACATAGCTGCATACTTTTTACCAATCATAGAACAAATTTTAAATTTAACTCAAGTTAGTTGCTCAGTCTTTTTCATGTTATTTAAAAAAATTCTATTCTTGAAGAGCTAGTTCCTCTAATGGCACCAATTATATCTTTTCTTTTAACATTTATAATAATGGAGAATTATTTCAAAAAATATTGAAATACTTTAGACATTTATTTAAAAGTTAAACATCTCTTGCTGTTAAAAGCTAACATCTTCTGTAGTTAGAGCCATGTGAACAACAAAGATATATCTTGGAATAGCTTGTGGACTTATTTAAGATAATTTAAAGGTACTCTTCATGGGTACTTTTACATGTTCATGTATATGTGAGTATAGGGTGAATTACTTATCTTAGCATTCAGTTTATCATTACAAATTAAAATAATTTTTAAACCATATTTTATTAAGTAGATATGTTTGTGTCACCAATGTGAAAAACAGAGTCTAGTTGGGGCAAAGGAAGTAATCAGGAGGCTATTTGCAATGTTCTAAATAAGAGATTATGGTTCGGCTAGGGTAATTGTAGACAGGATCATGAGAAGTGGTCTTGCTCTGAATATATTTAAAGATAATTAATCATTCTTAAGTGTTACCCTATTACTGTCTTATTTTTGGCTCTCAATAAAATATTTTTTCCGTCTGCTATATTTTATTGAATTATGGGATGAACAATGTTATGAGGTCTTTATGAAATCAAGATCTTATTTCCACAATCTTTTTTGGCCTAATTAAAACAAAGAAAATAGCTTGCTCATTATTTGAATGTAGATGTCTGAAATGATAGCAAAAACTGCGTTGATAGGTTTTGAGGGGAAATTTAAACAACAGAAGATAATTTAATTTTGTAGTTATATGTAAATTTAATTAAATATTTTCAGCAATATTTTTTAAATAAGTGAACTAAAGTTTTTAACTGATTTGTTGCATATAGGACTTCTTTCATGCTGCCAGAAACAACCAGTCTTTGTTTTCTAAAATAAATGAAGAGAAAATAGTTTTTTTCTTACATTTATTAGGACTAGATACAAATGGACATGCTCATCGACCATCATCAAGGTAATTAAATTCTTTATTTAATTTGATTTTTTGGTGGAAAACAGCTCTTTGAATTTCAAAGTATTATGTTTTCTTTGTAATTATAACACTAGAACTAATATACTAAATAACTACTGTAATATACAACATGTTCTCAGCTACATGAGATATCCTACAATATAGTGGTTAATGTGGCCAAATTGCACATTAATATAAGTGAAATTTATCCTGTTCATATATTATATACTCTTCATTTATCAAGGCAGAGAAAAAATTTTATCTAAAAATTTATATATTTTAGAAATATTTTCAGTGAATCTTGAAATAAAAAGCAGTTTTATAGTTTTAATTTTTATATCACAAAAGATGTAATTAGCTATTGTGTGTTCCATCAAATTGTATCTGGCAAATTTATATACTATAATATGATAGCATTCTTTATATATGCTAACAGCAAATATTCTCACTTTTATAGACCATAAGAAAAAAGAAAAAACTATGTTTTACTTTTATTTATTTTGAATGTGGTTTGGATCACCTTGTTTCTGTAAAGCCTATCAAGTTAGCTGCCAGTAACAAATAGCCCACACATTCCCCTTCTTTAACATGATGCACTGTTTAATTAATGGAGTGTTCATTCCAAACCACCCTTGTTCAATGGTGTGGAAAATTTAAATATAATTTCTTTAAATCATATTCTATTTTATTTTATATCCCAAACACTTGGGATGAAAATATTTTATACTTGAAACAATGATTTAGCTATTAATGTCGACAGACCAGTATACTGGTAATTTAAATCAGTTTTAAATTACAATTTCATGAACTTGAAAGTCAGAATTATTTCATTTGAGTTTTAAAAAGGGTTTGCTAAAATGTACTTGATAATGCCCTCTTTTTAAGTCATCTCTGAAAACTACTTCAGGTTCTTTAGCTTTATTAAAAGGAGAAAAAATATTTTCAGTAGGGTGGTGCCTGTGGCTCAAAAGAGTAGAGCACCGGCCCCATATGCTGGAAGTGGTGGGTTCAAACCCAGCCCCAGCCAAAAACTGCAAAAAAAGTCAGTAATCTGAAGAGCTCCAGTTTGAAAATATTAAAGATGAAATCTAAAAGCATTTCAGGAGTTACTGACTTTGAATGTAATGAGTCCAAATTGAATAAATTTGATTTTTCCCAATTAATTTGTTCTTCGTTTTTTTTATAAACAGGGACTATAAGGACAATATTAAAAAAGTTGATGATGGAGTGAAGGAAATCGTGTCCATGTTTAAACAGTTTTATGGAAATGATGGGAAAACAACATTTATCTTTACCTCTGACCATGGAATGACAGACTGGGGTTAGTCTGCCTTGAAGTGATAAGTACCTTATAATTTAAGTAGTGGTAAATGTAGGTCGCAAATATCTTACAGTGTTGAAAGGATTTGAGATCTTAGTATATGCAAAATGTCTAGCACATAATAATTGTATGCTTAAAATGTTAGCATAAAAATGACTGATATTATATAAAGAATCATTTTTCTAACTATAAAAAGAATATATATTCATTTACAAATGAGAAACTAGAGTAAAACATCTAGAAGGAAAGATGAAGTGCCTGTTATCTACCTGGAATTAACTGTATGAGATGGCAAAGGAAGTGATGTTAAGATAGTGTTAAAGGACCTAGTACTGCTGAAATACTAATAAGACACAGATGCTGTTTGGTTCCTCACATCATGATATAGAATTCTAGGGAGTTATGTTCCATGTTATAAAGGGCTTCTTTTGGCTACACCAGCCAGGGTTGCCTGGAAGAAAAGGACCCAGAGACCTTCTCATCTCCTCCAGAATGGACACCCTCATGCTCACGGCATACCCCGAGCTTGCGTGATTACTGCTCAAAGGACCTGTGCTCATTCTCTCTGTCTTTGGTGCCACTCCAGCAGTGGCGACATCTCTTCCGTGTCTTACTGTTTTACTTCTTTCACGTAGTTACTGAGCAGACATTCTGATATTTGTTTCAATTTTTTTTTTTTTTTTTGAGACGGAGCCTCAAGCTATCCCCCTGGGTAGAGTGCCATGGCATCACACTCACAGCAACCTCCAACTCCTGGGCTCAAGCGAGTCTCCTGCCTCAGCCTCCCAAGTAGCTGGGACTACAGGCGCCCGCCACAACGCCTGGCCATTTTTTGGTTGCAGCCATCATTGCTGTTTGGCGGGCCCGGGCTGGGGATTCGAACCCGCCACCTTAGGTGTATGTGACTGGCGCCTTAGCCGCTTGAGCCACAGGCGCCGAGCCTGTTTCAGTTTTTAAATTATAGTTTTAATTTAATTGTTGTTGATGCTGTGATTTGTTTTGTGGGAATATTTTCAAGCTAATTGTGATAACAAGTTGTAAACATTTGGGAATATGGTAGCTAAAACAAAGTATTTTAAACAAGAAATTTAGCTATAAGTTCTTTACTACTTGTCTTACTACTCTCGGTATGTGATTTATAGGTTTCCATGGGGCTGGTCATCCTTCAGAGACTTTAACTCCTTTGATCACTTGGGGAGCTGGAATCAAGTATCCCCAGAAAGTATCAGCTCAACAATTTGATGATGAATTTTTGAAAGGTATAAACATTGAATTTCATTATTTTTATACAGATATTTTAAAATAATATCAAAGTTTAATTTTTTAAAAAATTACTTTTAAATTGCAGTTTTAAATTTCTCACTTTGATGTTTGTGCCATTACTATTTCTATGCAAACACTACAAACCCACGGGGTTTAGTTGGTTTTTTTCTGTTCTTACAGAGACATGTTTTGAACCTTTCTTGGTATTCTACTACTAATAACTACTTAGAACTTTCCAAATGTTTGCTAAATGGAATTTTCAATCTTCTTTGATTAAATTAATTTATTAATTAAAGATTAAATAAGAAATCTAAGGTTTCTTGGAGGTAAATCGTAAATTCGATGGAAATTTTCCAACCCAAATAAAAAACAATGCCTTTAGTTACAAAATCATAGTATTTACAGATAAAAAGGTAGAAATATTTTTCCCTGCGCCCTAATGAAGACAATCAAAAGCCCACAGAGGAGCAGTCTGACAGGGCCAGCATAATGCAGCCAGTATACTGTCATGTTATTTCCAGATTTCTTTGAGCTCAAAACAAAACAAATCTAAAGGATTCTTTTTTTTCATCTACTGTGTATCTTTGGGATACTCTTTGGCACTCAAAGAAATTAGTACTTAGTCTAATAAGACATTTAAAACAAAGTTTAAGATTATGATAACTGCTCCGAAGGAAATTAGAATGATGTGATAAAACAGATAAGAAGTGGTAAGACTGGGCTCTTTACTCCCTGCCTCTCACATTTTTGAGATATTTGGTAAAGTAGATAAAGTGCATTAATCTTAAGTATATAGCTTGATGACTTTTACATGTGTGTATATACCATGTAATCATCATCCAGATTCACATCCATAACATTTGTAGTACCTCAGAAGTTTTCTCTTATGGAATAGGATACTTTTTGTGGAGTAGGTAATAGTAGGCTTGTTCACATGCAAGTGAGGGCAGGAGTGTTCCAGGTGGAGGGAATAGCAAATGCAGAGGCATAAAATGGAAAGAGCCTGGCTTGCTTTGAGGTACAGAAGGAAGGCTGACATGGCTTGAGCACTGTCATCTAGGAGGAGAGTATACTGAGTTGAGCGGCTGGAGGGGTAAGCAGGAGGTAGATCATTTGAGACTTGAAAGCCTGTGGGTAGGGAACAAGGAGTTCTGAGTTGCAATGCTGCATCATTAAAGGTTTAAGCAGTGCACTGCCAAGATTCCAGTTTGCTATATAGCAGCTACCTTTCTGGCTGCTCTGTGATAAATGGATTAGACTGGATCTAGATAGAAGAGAGGGTAAATAGTATATTTGTCCTTAGGAGATTTAACTTTATTTTGGTTTCTCAATGAACTGATGTTGGAATCACATGACTTGGGAGCTTGTTTGTAGGTTGTAGCAGAGGAGTGCAGCTACCTGCCTACCTTTGACCAAGGAAATGGTCCTTTTCTATTGGGAAAGTTTGTCCTCTTCAACCCAGTGTGCAGCTTCTGGAGGGATGCCTGTGCAGCAGTGAGGGAGGAAGGGTGGGGATGCCCTCCTAGCCAGCCACCTCAGCTGATTCAACCCTTGTGATCCATGGGAAGATGGATACTGCAGCTGGATCTTCTTCACATTCAAGAATTACATGACTTTAAGAATCATCACAAAGACTGGGCACGGTGGCTCATGCCTGTAAACCCTGGGAGGCTGAGGTGGGTAGATTGCCTGAACTCAGGAGTTTGAGACCAGCATGAGCAAGAACAAATCCTGTCATTAAAAAAAATAGCTGGGCATTGTGGCGGGCACCTGTAGTTCCAGGTACTCTGAAGGCTGAGGCAAAGGGATCATCTGAGCCCAAGAGCTTGAGGTTGCTGTGAGCTATGACACTGTGGCACTAAACCCCAGGGTGACAGAGTAAGACTCTGTCTCAAAAACAGAAGGAATATATATTTTCCCATTTGAAAATTAAATATCATAAGTTATAAAGGCAGGATATGCGTTTTTTACTCACACGGGTGATGAATATGAATTTTTGGTAGCTGGCTAGTAGAAGTGGAAACATATTTTTAAACTTTATTGGTTTATGAAAGGAAACTTCACCATATGAAGATTTTATTTATTTATTTACTTACTTATTGTGTAAGACTCTGCCTCACTTCGTTGCCCTTGGTAGAGTGCCGTGGTGTCATAACTCACAGGAACCTCAAACCCTTGGGCTTAAGTGATCCTCTTGTCTCAGCCTCCTGAGTAGCTGAGACTACAGGTACATACCACAATGCCTAGCTGTTTTTAGAGACAGGGTCTTGCTCTGGCTCAGTCTGCTCTTAAACTCCTGAGCTCAAGCAATCCACCAGCCTTGGCCTCCCAGAATGCTAGGATTACAGGCATGAGCCACCATGCCTAGTCTTATACAAAGATTTTAGAATCCTTTTAGTAGTACCTCCATAGTTAGCCATCTCCCTACATTGATCACTTGCTTAAGTTGACCTAATTTTCATAGAATGGACATGCACTACATAAACTCAATGGAATTTCCTTATGTTGATTACCTCTTGTTATGTTGGCCAGTTTGTTATAGTCGCTTGGGTGGTCAACGTACTGTAAATCCTAAAGCAATTAAAGCAAGATTTAGCTTCTTATAATCAGTTATTTTTACTGCCATTTAATGTAATTTCTGAGTTTTTTATGTGGAGAGATAGGAGAATGAGGGTCGTGACTTTAAAAGCATTACAGCTACAAATTTAAGTATTTTGCAAGCAACTATCATCACTGAAAAAATAATTTGGATTAATTAATGCATTATCAGTTGCTTTAATAACCCTCTGGAATAGGATTATAATGAGTTGTAGTCAAGCTGACAATTGTTACCATTGTACTTTTTGCTTCTAGCTTTCCTTCCTTTGCTTTTGATGTTTTGAAACAATTATCCCCAAATGAGCATTTTAAAAAGCTTAATAAGTCATTACATAAAACTCTAGATATTCACTTTTCTGTTTTTTTGGTGTTCTTTTTTAAAATCTCCCTCGTTTTGTTTTTTTTTTTTTTTTTTTTTTGAGTCTTGCTCTCTTGCCCTGGTTAGAGTACAGTGGTGTCATCATAACTCATTGCAACCTCAAACTCCTGGGCTCAAGAGTTCCTCCTGCCTCAGTCTCCCAAGTGCCTGGGACTATAGGCATACGCTAGTATGCCTGGCTAATTTTTCTATTTTTAGTAGAGATGGAGTCTTGCTCTTAGTCTGGTCTCGCATGCCTGAGCTCAAGCAATCTACCTGCCTTGACCTCCCAGAGTGGTAGGATTACAGAGGTGAGGCACCATGCCTAGCCTAAGCACTCTTTTTATTAATAGTTGGCTTAAAATAGAGAGATGTTTCCAAACTTATGTTTTCCTTTAGTATTGATCACTCCTAAAAATCAAATGATTTATTTTTTTTAAATCTTAATACTGGATCTTAAGTATAATTGTGTTTTTCAGAATGGAAATTGGAGAACTGGAAGAGGCAAGATGTCAATCAGGTATTTGTTTCAATTTAGTCACATCAAATTTAATGTCATCTCCTGTAAAAGATTTAGGCTAAAAAATATGGAAAAAATAGGTATATTAATAATATTGACAAAGTCTTTTTAAAAACATTTTAATAACTAAGGGAAATACTTTCAGGGCACATACTTTAGCCCAAATACTCTCTTATGGTGTTTACATTAATGTATACAGCTATCATTTAATAATTAAAAAAAAATGTGATTCACTACAAAAAAAAATCTCTTATGGCAAAATTAACAACAACAAAAAAACTTAGATGAAAATAAAAGATTTCCTCCAAACAATACTGCATAATTATTTGTTATGTAAATTGAAATTTGCATGCCTATGAAATTCCTGTGATTTCTTGTTGTGGTTTCATTTGTGCTTGCTTTAAGCACGAATCTAATAAGTCTCCTGTTGTAGGTTTCTTTCCTATAGTACATTGGTTACTGTTTCTTCTTTATTAACACATATTTTCCCTTTAATTCTAACCAGCATCTTTACAAATGTAATGGGGAAAAAGTGAGAAGACTGTAAATTACTCAGCCAAAAGCCTTCTATTACAAGAAAATGTGTAGCCAACCTAACAAAGTTAGACTAGTAGCATTATCTATAAATATGAAGCACAAACTCATTCTTGTTGAAAACATACGGCTTTCATAGCCATCTTTGCTACTTATAGCTGGTATGTAGCATCACTGAAATATGGCTTCCAAAGTAGCAGGAGAATCTTGCTTTTCAAGTCACTGTACAAGGTAATATTCCTTATGGTGATGGCCAGGTTCAAGGTCTCACTTTCAGGCCTATGATAGCAGAAATCTGTTTCTCCTCAGCATAGTAAAAATAGTCTTTCTCCCAGTTTAGATGCCTATTACCAAATTAAATGAAAATGCATAATAATAGTTTATTAATTTACAATAAAAAATAATTGTCAAAGGCACAGGAATGAGACTTGAAGATGACAAAAAGAATATTTTACTCACAGCCAGACCAGATTGTAATCAGAAACTGAACATAGATTTGGCTATTTGTAAATGCTCATAACTCTATTGTACTCTATTGGCTAATACTACTGCTTCAGATCTGCAGCAGACGAGAATCACTTTATTCATTCTTTCTACCAACACTGTTATGTGTTTGCAGTACGTTTAAACTTAGGACTGAGTATAAGGGATGTAATGGTGTATAAAAGCAGACAAGATCCCAGCCCCGGGAATCTTATACTTTTGGGGGGAGAATAGATACTAATTAAATTAGTATACGAATAAGTATATTCTAGCTAGATAAGCACTACAGAGTAGCCCTGTGAAGCTACAAGAGCATAAAGTGGGTGTATCTGGAGACTGTGATCAACAAAAGTGTCCTGAGAGGTTGAGGCTTGAGCTGACACTGAAAAATAAGCAGGAATTACCAGGCCAAGGCAGTAAGATGAGGGCTTTCTCCGCAGAGGGAGCAGCATGTACACAGAGCTCTGGTAATATGAGGGAGTCAGCTAGATGAGAGCAGGGCAGATGACGGACATGGTCAGGTCTGGATTGGGTTGGGTCAGGTGGATCTGGGCTATTATGGGAATGAGATGGATAAAGACCTTCCAGGTGGGTTGCTTTGAGAACAAAGTTAAAAGACCCTGGGAGATGTCCAAGAAGCAGTGATATTCTCAAAGTTGTGTATGAAACTGCAAGGCCCAGCTTGCTGTGCAAGTTGTTAATAAATTTGCTTCTTCTTTCTAAAACTTGCTCTTTTCAATTATTTTGGCAATTGCCTTGAGGCACTGCACCACTCTGAAGGATCTGGACCTCCTTTCTTCTGCCCCCATCACCCTGTTTTCTTTTTTCCTGAAGAAAACAGAGCAACAGATACTGCGGTGATGGGGGCAGAAGAAAGGAGGTCCAGATCCTTCAGCATCATATCAGCCTTGTGGGCTTGATCCTAAACTTGGGGAACCCTTGAAGTGTTTGAAGCCTGGAGAGTAACATGATTCAGTTTTTTTGTGAAAGAATTGCCTTGGCTGCAGCATGGAGAAAGATGAGAGGGGCCAGCAGTGAGTTCTGGGGGAAGGGAAATGGTGATTAGGGGGACTTAAGCAATTTTCAGTGTTTTGGGTAATGTTACTTAGTAAAGACAGCTCAAATAGTAATATGTGAGAAGGATTGAGAGCCTGGGACCAAACCTGATGAACTCCAACTTTAAATGAGGGACCAGTAAAGGTATCTGAAAGGAGCAGCCAGTGAGATGGAAGAAACTCAGCTCTGTGGGGTTAACAAAGGCCATGAAAGGAGTGAGGTCTGGTAAAAAACAATAATAGCAATTGTACATACCATTATTGCAGGCTTACTATGTGCCAGATACTTTGTAAGTTTTATTTAATCCTGCCATAATTCTGTAAGGGAAAAACTTATATTTTTAACTGATAAGGAAATTAATGCAGTGGAGAGGTTGAATAAACTACCCTACATCTCCGAGATTGCAAGCAAAGATTTGAAACCAGGTATTATGAATTCTAAGCACTTTTTTACCTAAAATTATAACAACTAGTATAAACACAGTTCATGAGATTTAGAAAAAAAAGGATATTGCTAGTACTCTTAGGAAGTATAGTCTGTGGAATGGTAAAGGGTCAAAACAAGTTAGAGTGAGCTGAAGAATGATGGTAAGATGGGGAAATGAAGGCAGAATGCATCAATAACTCTTCTGAGGAATTGGACTTGAAGGAATAGTATCCAAACTGATATATGGAATCTTTTAGTGAAAGAGTCTCTTTTCTGGTTTATATCTTCTCTGGATTTCACTGGCTGGCCACACCTCCTTCTGGTAGATTTTTCTTTTTAGTTAATATATATACATTTCTTCAGTTAAAATCATCTCTTGATTTTTATTTTCAGTGTAGTTAAGGCATCCTTTCCATAATACTGAAATACCTGTTACATAAAGTGGTCAAGTTCTAGGATAATAGGATAAATGTTTTCCTTAATTTTTTTTTTAAATTTATTTTTTCATTAGTTCCTGAACCTCTAATAAATGATATTTTTAGAGATTAATATTTTGTGTTTATTAAGTAAATATTTGAAGGTAATTGATTATAAAAAATATCATGGTTATATTCCAGAATATAGTTGCATTATTTAACTTCTTTGTTGAGACCTGAAGACTTTTAGAATTGAACCTTTTCTCTTTGTAGGCTGATATTGCACCACTGATGGCTTCCCTTATTGGAGTTCCTTTTCCCCTCAATTCAGTGGTAAGGAATAAAATCTCATCAACTCTCTATATTAAAAAAAATTGCATAGTGAAATTTACCCTTTTTTATGTGTTTCTGTATAATCTTTGATGATATCTATAACACAGAGCACAAACCTAATAGCTTTTCTTTTTTGAGACAGAGTCTTACTTTGTCACCCGTGGTACAGTGCTGTGGTGTCATAGTTCACAGCAACCTCAACCTTCTGAGCTCAAGCAATTCTCTTGCCTCAACCTCCCCAGTAGCTGGGACTACAGGTGCCTGCCACAACACCCGGCTATTTTTACTTTATTTATTTATTTATATATATTTTAATAGAGACAGAGTCTCACTTTATCACCCTTTGTAGAGTGCTATGGTATCACAGCTCACAGCAACCTCCAACTCCTGGGCTTAGGCGATTCTCTTGCCCCAGCCTCCCAAGTAGCTGGGCCTACAGGTGCCTGCCACAATGCCTGGCTATTTTTTGTTGCAGTTTGGCCGGGGCTAGGCTTGAAAACCAGGCTTTGAAATGAGTAGGAACCAAGAGAGCTCTGGAGCCCTGGAAGAAGTCCATGATCCATGGCAGGGCCATTCGTCTCAGGGCACTGACACTAGGGTAAAAGAGAATTACACCTGTTTTAGATTCTGTTCTTTGACTCTCAAGTGTCAAATTCCAGATCATCTAGCTTGGGTTATTTGTCTACCCTGATTGTAAGCCTATCATGCTATATTCAGAAGATTTCTCAACTATTTAAAAATAGTACTAGATGCTGAAATGACTAAGAACACACCAACAAAAAATATCTATTCAAACCAGCCACTCTTATCCACTCTTTAAGATCAAATTTACTTAAAAAAAAAAATGTTTTCTTACTCAGAAGGCTGAGTAATATGACCCTGACAGTCATAAGTGTGTGTCTGTCTATAACTGAAACAAACGTTTACTGAAAAAGTCTTTACTCTTACTATGCACAGTATGTTCTCATATGTTCTGTATCTTTGTTTTAAAACCGTACTGGCTGTGGCCCATTATAGTGATTTTTTTTGTGTATGAAGTACTTAGCCTAGCACATAGTGCTCTGTCAGTCACTGCTAGGTTTTATTGAATTTAATTCATCACTTTTGCTTTATTTATTTACCATATGAGAAAAATAATAGAACATCTTTCAGTTATGGTTTTAAAAAAGATTTTTCACTTAACAATTTGTTATTTATCCATATGCCTTATCTTTATTGCTTTCCTTTTAAATCTGTCTTGTTTCATAAGCATAGCCTGAGCTTTGTAACACTAAGCCAGTGTTTATTATTTACAGGGAATCCTTCCAGTAGATTATCTTAACAACACCGATCTCTTCAAAGCAGAGAGCATGTTTACCAATGCAGTACAGATTCTTGAACAGTTCAAGGTACAGAACAACACAAAAATGTGGCAATATTATAATTGTAAATTGAACATGTAATGTGAAAATATTTTATTTTGTGTTTGAATAAGTGATTGTCTCTAATTTATTTATTTAGAGACAAAGTTTCATTTTGTTGCCCTCGGTACAGTGCCATGGTGTTACAGCTCACAGCAACCTCCAACTCCTGGGCTTAGGTGATTCTCTTGCCTCGGCCTCCTGAGTAGCTGGAACTACCAGTGCCTGCCACAACGCCTGGCTATTTTTTGTTGTTGTTGTTGTTGTTGCAGTAGTTTGGCCAGGGCCGATTTTAAACCCATTACCCTTGGTATATGGGCCTGGCGCCCTACCCACTGAGCCACAGGCACCGCCCAATTTTCTATCATTTATTATCTTTAACTTTTGTGTATTTGACTAGTAATTCACTTTCTGAGGTGTAAGTTCCATGACTCAGGTTGAAGGTATAGAATTGCCTTCAAAGATTGTTCCTAAATGTGAAATTATTATGTATGCTTGTAAAGACTACAGTTACATCTTTATTGGAATTTGATCCATAGAAGTATTATTAAAGATTACAACATTTCTTGTCTTTCCATTATTAGATGTCTTAAGAATTTAAAGAGATGACCCTTTGAAACTTTGTTATTCCTAATGCTGTTAGTAATCAGTTTGGCTTATTTTGTTTACAAAGGGTTAAGGAAGTAGTTTTAGTTATATTTTAGTAATGTTATTTTGTAGAACTGATGTATTTAATTCTTTGCTTATTGAGACAGTCAGAAAATGTTACCGTTTCTTCAAATATTTATGAAATAATATAATAACACAAAATTCCATTTATTTTCACTTTAAGAAATCACTTTATAGATATTTATATTTCAAAATGAAATTCATTAATTTTTTCTCATTTATGATGTTTTCGTGCTTGGTTCACAGGTGAAAATGACTCAGAAAAAAGAAGTTACTTTACCATTTTTGTTTACACCTTTTAAGTAAGTCCTTTATATTTCTTTATTTTTTTTTTTTTTTTTTGAGACAGAGCCTCAAGCTGTCCCCCTGGGTAGAGTGTCGTGGCATTACAGCTCACAGCAACCTCC